AGGTGACTCACGCCTCATCCTGCTGGTGGAGTCTACCTGAGAACCAAGGACTTCCTGGTCTGACCCACCAGCTGGCTGAGGTCAAAGGTCACAGATATAAACCAACCTTCACTCTACAGATGATCATTTATTAATTAATAAACATCCATTTAAATACCTGTTCAGTTTAGTATTTCTGTGGTTCATCCAGCTTTTCTAATTCCCTGAGGATCAGCGATGTGCACAGATGGACACTAGGTGGAGCTACGGTTGAGTTTTCACTTAACTTTATTGAACTGAACAAAACGGAACATACAAAAACCACCAGGTGGCAGTATTTCACATCCTGACCTGCTTTGTCAAAATACTGTATTAGAACACCTGGAGCACCTGAACTGTTCCCCTCTGGAAAAAAAAGTTCCCTCCTGAGATAATCTTTGTTTTTTACTTTTTTTAGCCTTTGGAATGAATTTATAATTTTTAAAAGTCTGTATTTTTATTATTTTGCTCCATGAGACGTGAAGCTCCGCCTCCACAGAGCGTTGCCCTAGTGATGGACCAGGTAACCGTCCAGGTAAACCTCCTTCACCAACCAGTCAGTTCACAGCAGAATGTCTTTAAAGGCCTCTGCTGAGACCTAACAATAAAACTATTTGATTAAATTAGAATAAAATAGAATTTAAAGCGTCTCATAGACGTAATTATTGATTTGCTGTTACGTTGCTGTCAGGGACTCACTGATCACATCTATTTGACTTTATTATGACAACCGCAGCAAACAGCTTTCCTTTTCTCTGTTAAACATGAAATGTTTATTTTAAACTATTTAATTATTAGATATTAAGCACTCAAAATAAGATGTTTTTTTCATATTTTAAATGTAAATCTTAGTTAATCTGCAAATAGTCATATAAAAGTAATAACCTTAAAGATATTCTGGATGTTTTGGGCTTTAAATGAGTGGATTTTAAACTGTTATTTATTGAAGTGACACCAAGGTGGCGCTGTTTGGCTGCTGGCGGCTCCACGCCACGCAGAAGGTGCCCGTTCTTCCAATGCCTGAGCCGCTGCTGAGGATAGAGCCTGATTATCCTCTATCCTGTCTGGTTTTACTAAGTATTAATGTTTAGTCTGTCCTGGTTCCTCTTTAATTCTATTCTGTGTGGAGAAACAGGCCGTTAACACCTGAAAACGTCACATTCTTCCCACAGAGGGACTCATTCAGACTCACAACCCAGAGCAACCAGAGTCCAGCTCCATTCTTTAAATGTCTGGAGTTTGTTTTGTTGTGTTTTGCAGCCCTGGAGGCGATAATGAGGGAGACGGAGGGAGGAGAGGCCTTGATGGAGGTGAGAGGAGACTCTCTGGCTGCTGTCGCCTCAGGCCTACAGTCTCTGAGTGAAAGGTTTCCAGGAGCTAAAAATCAATGATAATCTGAGGCCACCTGGGCATGTAAACAGAGCAAAAATGGAAAAACACACATCCACCAGAACAGCCTGCTGTCGGGTTTCCCTCTCTAGGCTTCCTTATGCTGCAAAACACTACGAGGAAAGAATGTAAAAACCTGCAGGCTGCAGCTTTACTGCCCCCTAGTGGCAGACACGTACAAATAAAGCAGCTGAGTCCAAACCCAAGGGGCCGCTAATGGCCCCTGGGCCCCACTTTGGACACACCTGGCTTAATAGATTTATCCTATAAAATAACTAGTTCCAGTTTAACTTATAATGTTTGGCGCCATTTTGCTTCCAATGATGCTTCTGCCTCAAAGGATCAGCAGAGTCCAACTGTCTGCTTTCAACACTTACTCAGAATACACTGCTATGCTAACAGCTAATTGATAATTAGAACCATGCTAAAGGCTACTATGCTAAAGCTATTATTCAAAGTAAATTTAAAAGCTAACAAAACGACAAAAGCTAAAAATGACTGAATTTTTCTAACAAAGTTGAAACATGCTAATAGCTAATCTGAGTCCAGAAAATAATTAACCACAATCAGAACATCGGCTAACGTCTAACAAAGAAAACTAACCACTGAAGGGCAGCTAGTCCACAGCTACATGGATCCAACATCAGCCAATCAGAGGACCTGATGGTGCAGGACAGGTCGGGTTTCTGGGACGGGTCGGGTTTCTGAGACGGATCGGGTTTCCGGGACGGGTCGGGTTTCCGGGACGGGTCGGGTTTCTGAGACGGATCGGGTTTCTGGGACGGGTCGGGTTTCTGGGACGGGTCGGGTTTCTGAGACGGATCGGGTTTCCGGGACGGGTCGGGTTTCCGGGACGGGTCGGGTTTCTGAGACGGATCGGGTTTCTGGGACGGGTCGGGTTTCTGGGACGGGTCGGGTTTCCGGGACGGGTCGGGTTTCTGGGACGGGTCGGGTTTCTGGGACGGGTCGGGTTTCTGGGACGATCGGGTTTCTGGGACGGGTCGGGTTTCTGAGACGGATCGGGTTTCTGGGACGGGTCGGGTTACTGGGACGGGTCGGGTTTCTGGGACGGGTCGGGTTACTGGGACGGGTCGGGTTTCCGGGATGGGTCGGGTTTCTGAGACGGATCGGGTTTCTGAGACGGATCGGGTTTCTGGGACGGGTCGCGTTACTGGGATGGGTCGGGTTTCTGGGACGGGTCGGGTTTCTGAGACGGATCGGGTTTCTGGGACGGGTCGGGTTTCTGGGACGGATCAGGTTTCTGGGACGGATCGGGTTTCTGGGACGGGTCGGGTTTCTGGGACGGGTCGGGTTTCTGGGACGGGTCGGGTTTCCGGGATGGGTCGGGTTTCTGAGACGGATCGGGTTTCTGGGACGATCGGGTTTCTGGGACGGGTCGGGTTTCTGGGACGGGTCGGGTTTCTGGGACGATCGGGTTTCTGGGACGGGTCGGGTTTCTGAGACGGATCGGGTTTCTGGGACGGGTCGGGTTACTGGGACGGGTCGGGTTTCTGGGACGGGTCGGGTTACTGGGACGGGTCGGGTTTCCGGGATGGGTCGGGTTTCTGAGACGGATCGGGTTTCTGAGACGGATCGGGTTTCTGGGACGGGTCGGGTTACTGGGATGGGTCGGGTTTCTGGGACGGGTCGGGTTTCTGAGACGGATCGGGTTTCTGGGACGGGTCGGGTTACTGGGACGGGTCGGGTTTCCGGGATGGGTCGGGTTTCTGAGACGGATCGGGTTTCTGGGACGATCGGGTTTCTGGGACGGGTCGGGTTTCTGGGACGGGTCGGGTTTCTGGGACGATCGGGTTTCTGGGACGGGTCGGGTTTCTGAGACGGATCGGGTTTCTGGGACGGGTCGGGTTTCTGGGATGGGTCGGGTTTCTGGGACGGGTCGGGTTTCTGGGACGGATCGGGTTTCTGGGAAGGGTCGGGTTTCTGGGACGGGTCGGGTTTCTGAGACGGATCGGGTTTCTGGGACGATCGGGTTTCTGGGACGGATCGGGTTTCTGGGACGGGTCGGGTTTCCGGGACGGGTCGGGTTTCTGGGACGGGTCGGGTTTCTGGGACGATCGGGTTTCTGGGACGGATCGGGTTTCTGGGACGGGTCGGGTTTCTGAGACGGGTCGGGTTTCTGGGACAGGGCCGGTTTTTGGGACGGGTCGGGTTTCTGGGACGGGTCGGGTTTCTGGGACAGGGCCGGTTTTTGGGACGGGTCGGGTTTCTGGGACGGGTCGGGTTTCTGAGATAGATCGGGTAGTGACACAAGGTTTAGCTTAGAACTTCTTTTAAGCTAGCAGCTAATCTGAGTTAAAAGCATTTTAAACCTAAAACTAAACGCTGTTTAGATTATAATTAATCCCTGATATAAATATTTCCTGAACTAAAGCTCATTTATCGGCTCACAGTCAGACTTCCAGCTGGAAGTTTGATGTTTTAATGAAAGCCTGTAAAGCGGTTTAGACTGAAGGAACAAACCTGTCAGGCAGAAATCAGGGATTTGATCTGAGCTTCTGGAGGAAGAAAAAGTCTCCTAGCATCAGATAAACTGAGGTGAAATCTGTCATCTGTTCTGGTTTTTAATTAATTCCTGTTTGCTTTGATAGATTGAGCGGAGGGACAGAGTTCTCCTGGACAGCCCTGAACTCTAGAGCTAGTCCACACAGACCCGCTTTATTAAAAGCTGTAGGTTAGAGTAGAGAAGGGCGGCAGAGAGCCCTTTAAGCCACCGTAGAAGATCCTGGTCAAAAAGATCAACCAGCCGTTCCACCATCACATGGGATTGCTGCTCTGACCCTACCAGCCGGGCTGTTTGTTAGATTTACCGTCTGGTTTCAGCTCTGAGGACACGAGCAGAGACAGACAGGTCAGCTCCGTCCCTCTGGCTAATGTCAGGGACACTTACGCTTTATTAAACGTATCCAAACAAACAGCGCCTCAGGCTGCAGCATCCAGCCAGGAGAGCTGCTACATCACAGCCACAACCATTTTCTCAGGAAGAAATGTTTCATTTTCATTAAAAAGGTTCCAGTTTTTATTAAAGTGATCAGAGTCCAGTCGGTTTATCATTTAAGGAGCAGAAGATCCATTTAAACTGAAATCTCAGATGTTTTAAAGCTGGGGCTTTTTTCTGTCTGCTTGGTTTTAAAAGTTTACCCTCATGTTGCATCATCCTGCATTTTAACAAACAGAATCAGAGGAGACAAACTGTTGGAGCTCTAAAGCGTTTTGATCCGGTCTGATCCTCATCAACCCTGGATGGGAACGCCGCGTGTTTCCATCCAGCCTGGGAGCTTCATGGCTGGATCACACTGGTTGTTCTGGGAGCGACTCCACCTTCCCTCCCTCTCCCTTCCTCCTCCATGACGGCGGTGGAACTCAAACACGTCTGTCGCTCATGAACTCATCGATTTCTCACAGCTTTCATTTTGGTGATTTATGTTTACAGAAAATAAAAACTTTAGAAAACCAGAATATTATCAAACATTTGATTAATGGAGATTCTGATCAAACTCCACAGTCAGAAGGGAGAGGGGGCATCTGAGACCAAGGGCCTTAGGGGTGTGTGTGTGGGGGGGGGGGTTACTCACCGGACTGTGGCAGCATGGAGGAGTAAACCTTTGGGTCGATGGTCCCCATCGGCGGTGGCAGCAGCGGGTTGGTGAAGCTCCGCAGCGGGTGGGTCGGCCGAACGCAGGCCGTGGGGATGGTCCGCCCCCCGCCTGTCTGCGCCTCCTCTGAGGAGCCCGGGGCGGCGGGGGCCCCGGGGACGGGGCCGACGGGGGGAACGTGCTCCGAGGCAGGAGCAGCGCAGCCAGGCAGGAGGGGGGCGGCCGGCTGGGGTGGAGGCTGCTGCTGAAGCAGAGGAGCGGTGGAGGAGTCTGAGGGCATCGCTGAGAGGAAGGATGGAAACACAGAAAAGTCCAATTAGTGGGAATCCCAGAGAATCCCTGAAGAGTTCGCCCTGACAGCAAGAAGAAAACCATCCGTCCTTAAAGACGGGAAAACTCTGGACTTTCTTTAATCCTAAAAATATGAATAATAAATGAAGAAAATCTGAACTCTGCTTCAAAGACCGCAGCCTAGTTCATGTTTAGGACCTTAGAAATCTTTGGGGAGCCGCTTCTGGTTATCAAATATCTGCTCTACCCACACTGATATCTTTCAGCAGCAGGCTGTTAGCTAGCAATGCGGATAAGCGAGTATTTTACAGCCTTTAATTAAAAATACTAGCAACTGTACGATTGGTTTTTAGGATGTACCTGTCTGGCACTTCCTAATTTCCCCCCGGAAACTTTGCTCAAATGTTCACAAGCAGCAGCTGCTGGAGTTGGAAAAAGCTGCTGGACGCGCCACATCAACCCTGATTGGTTGAAACTATCAGTTAAACCATCCGAGTTAAACCATCTGAGTTAAACCATCCGAGTTAAACCATCAGTTAAACCACCAGAGTTAAACCATCAGTTAAACCGTCAAAGTTAAACCATCAGAGGTAAACCATCAGAGTTAAACCATCCGAGTTAAACCATCCGAGTTAAACCATCCGAGTTAAACCATCAGTTAAACCGCCAGAGTTAAACCATCAGTTAAACCGTCAAAGTTAAACCATCAGAGTTAAACCATCAGAGTTAAACCATCAGTTAAACCGTCAAAGTTAAACCATCAGAGTTAAACCATCCGAGTTAAACCATCCGAGTTAAACCATCCGAGTTAAACCATCAGTTAAACCGCCAGAGTTAAACCATCAGTTAAACCGTCAAAGTTAAACCATCAGAGTTAAACCATCAGAGTTAAACCATCCGAGTTAAACCATCCGAGTTAAACCATCCGAGTTAAACCATCAGTTAAACCACCAGAGTTAAACCATCAGTTAAACCGTCAAAGTTAAACCATCAGAGTTAAACCATCAGATTTAAACCATCAGTTAAACCATCAGTTAAACCATCAGTTAAACCACCAGAGTTAAACCATCAGATTTAAACCATCAGTTAAACCATCAGTTAAACCACCAGAGTTAAACCATCAGAGTTAAACCATAAGTTAAACCACCAGAGTTAAACCATCAGTTAAACCGTCAAAGTTAAACCACCAGAGTTAAACCATCAGTTAAACCGTCAAAGTTAAACCACCAGAGTTAAACCATCAGAGTTAAACCATCAGTTAAACCGTCAAAGTTAAACCACCAGATTTAAACCATCAGTTAAACCATAAGTTAAACCACCAGAGTTAAACCATCAGTTAAACCGTCAAAGTTAAACCATCAGAGTTAAACCATCAGATTTAAACCATCAGTTAAACCACCAGAGTTAAACCATCAGAGTTAAACCATCAGTTAAACCGTCAAAGTTAAACCATCAGAGTTAAACCATCAGAGTTAAACCATCAGATTTAAACCATAAGTTAAACCACCAGAGTTAAACCATCAGTTAAACCGTCAAAGTTAAACCATCAGAGTTAAACCATCAGATTTAAACCATCAGTTAAACCACCAGAGTTAAACCATCAGAGTTAAACCATCAGTTAAACCGTCAAAGTTAAACCATCAGAGTTAAACCATCAGTTAAACCATCAGTTAAACCACCAGAGTTAAACCATCAGAGTTAAACCATAAGTTAAACCACCAGAGTTAAACCATCAGTTAAACCGTCAAAGTTAAACCACCAGAGTTAAACCATCAGTTAAACCGTCAAAGTTAAACCACCAGAGTTAAACCATCAGAGTTAAACCATCAGTTAAACAGTCAAAGTTAAACCACCAGATTTAAACCATCAGTTAAACCATAAGTTAAACCACCAGAGTTAAACCATCAGTTAAACCGTCAAAGTTAAACCACCAGAGTTAAACCATCAGTTAAACCGTCAAAGTTAAACCATCAGAGTTAAACCATCAGATTTAAACCATCAGTTAAACCACCAGAGTTAAACCATCAGAGTTAAACCATCAGTTAAACCGTCAAAGTTAAACCATCAGAGTTAAACCATCAGATTTAAACCATCAGTTAAACCGTCAAAGTTAAACCACCAGAGTTAAACCGTCAGATTTAAACCATCAGTTAAACCACCAGAGTTAAACCACCAGAGTTAAACCATCAGTTAAACCGTCAAAGTTAAACCATCAGAGTTAAACCATCAGATTTAAACCATCAGTTAAACCGTCAAAGTTAAACCATCAGAGTTAAACCATCAGATTTAAACCATCAGTTAAACCGTCAAAGTTAAACCACCAGAGTTAAACCATCAGAGTTAAACCATCAGATTTAAACCATCAGTTAAACCATCAGAGTTAAACCATCAGTTAAACCATCAGAGTTAAACCATCAGTTAAACCGTCAAAGTTAAACCATCAGAGTTAAACCATCAGATTTAAACCATCAGTTAAACCGTCAAAGTTAAACCACCAGAGTTAAACCATCAGAGTTAAACATCAGTTAAACCATAAGTTAAACCACCAGAGTTAAACCATCAGTTAAACCGTCAAAGTTAAACCATCAGAGTTAAACCATCAGATTTAAACCATCAGTTAAACCACCAGAGTTAAACCATCAGTTAAACCGTCAAAGTTAAACCATCAGAGTTAAACCATCAGATTTAAACCATCAGTTAAACCGTCAAAGTTAAACCACCAGAGTTAAACCATCAGAGTTAAACCATCAGTTAAACCATAAGTTAAACCACCAGAGTTAAACCATCAGTTAAACCGTCAAAGTTAAACCATCAGAGTTAAACCATCAGATTTAAACCATCAGTTAAACCACCAGAGTTAAACCATCAGTTAAACCATCAGAGTTAAACCATCAGAGTTAAACCATCAGTTAAACCATAAGTTAAACCACCAGAGTTAAACCATCAGTTAAACCACCAGAGTTAAACCATCAGAGTTAAACCATCAGTTAAACCATAAGTTAAACCACCAGAGTTAAACCATCAGTTAAACCACCAGAGTTAAACCATCAGTTAAACCATCAGAGTTAAACCATCAGAGTTAAACCATCCAAGTTAAACCACCAGAGTTAAACCACCAGAGTTAAACCATCAGTTAAACCATCAGTTAAACCATCCGAGTTAAACCACCAGAGTTAAACCATCAGAGTTAAACCACCAGAGTTAAACCATCAGTTAAACCGTCAGTTAAACCATCCGAGTTAAACCACCAGAGTTAAACCATCAGTTAAACCACCAGAGTTAAACCATCAGTTAAACCGTCAAAGTTAAACCATCAGTTAAACCACCAGAGTTAAACCATCAGTTAAACCATCAGAGTTAAACCATCAGAGTTAAACCATCAGTTAAACCATAAGTTAAACCACCAGAGTTAAACCATCAGTTAAACCACCAGAGTTAAACCATCAGAGTTAAACCATCAGTTAAACCATAAGTTAAACCACCAGAGTTAAACCATCAGTTAAACCACCAGAGTTAAACCATCAGTTAAACCATCAGAGTTAAACCATCAGAGTTAAACCATCCAAGTTAAACCACCAGAGTTAAACCACCAGAGTTAAACCATCAGTTAAACCATCAGTTAAACCACCAGAGTTAAACCATCAGTTAAACCACCAGAGTTAAACCATCAGTTAAACCATAAGTTAAACCACCAGAGTTAAACCATCAGTTAAACCACCAGAGTTAAACCACCAGAGTTAAACCATCAGTTAAACCATAAGTTAAACCACCAGAGTTAAACCATCAGTTAAACCACCAGAGTTAAACCATCAGTTAAACCATCAGAGTTAAACCATCAGAGTTAAACCATCCAAGTTAAACCACCAGAGTTAAACCACCAGAGTTAAACCATCAGTTAAACCATCAGTTAAACCATCCGAGTTAAACCACCAGAGTTAAACCATCAGAGTTAAACCACCAGAGTTAAACCATCAGAGTTAAACCATCAGAGTTAAACCACCAGAGTTAAACTCCTATCTTAAGAACGTTATTGTGTCTGAGATCTGGTCTATTGAAAGGAAGCAGACCTGCTGAGAGTCACTAGAGAGCAGCTGACTGATCTGATCTGCATCCATTCCACCTTCCATTAGCACCTCCCTCTCACCTCCTCCTTCACCTCCTCCTCCTCCTCTCCAGCATGTGTCCCTCTGTGCGACAGCAAAGCTCCATTAGGGCAGAGATGCTGCACATTTTCACACAAACGCAGCTCCTGGTTGACCTCTGTGTCGGCCAGCAGCAGACAGGAGCTCAGCTTTCTGATTGGTTCAACCATTAAGAGGCTGATTGGAGGATTAGAGCTCCTCCAAGGTCCCTCCTGCCCCTTCCTCAGCCGCTGCAGCCCCGTACCCTCGCCTGCATCGCCATCAGCCCCCCTGGACTGTCTCCTCCTCTCCTGCTACTGTTAAATTGCTGCCAATCAGGGATTCATCGTCTCCTGAACCATCTGTGGGCCGTTTGGTTTAGCAGAAAGATGCAGATTGACTGCGAACAGAAAGGAGAGCATGAGGAGAGCAGAGGGAGCTGGGAAGGCGGCAGAGCTGCAGGTAGCTCTGTGTTTACTGCTCTTTCTAATATTAGCAGCTCTCTATATAATAACTGCTGAGAGGAAAAGGAAAGCAGCAATCAGGCTGTCAGCTTTTCCTTTTACACCAATAAACCAGTGGAGCGTCTGAGAAAGGTCTCAGTTACAGTCTGAAGGTCAGAAGCTCCTCCACTGAGGACCGATCAGGCCTGGAAATGAAAAGCTTTTAACCAAAGCATAGATATAAACCCCAGAAAACATTGATCTAGATTGGATGTGATGAGGAACTGTTTCTCCTCCTCATCGTCCATCTTGTTTAAAAGGGTTATTTACGGCTTGTTCCACCCTGTTCTCCACTTGGACCATGAAGACATGAGAGCTTAACCGGTTCCTGGTACACAGACCCAGAAAACCAGAGCTGCCATCATCTGAACAGCAGGGAGGGTCTGTCTGCTCTATGATAGTGGCCCTGATCAGCGTATCGGTGCCTGTGCCCAGCAGGCGGGGCGGGAGGCGGGGTCCGCCCTGCAGAGGTCAGCAGCGTGCCACAGGGCAACACAGAGACACACAAAGATGTAAACCCTGCACACAACTCAGAGAACTGAACAGGACTGTAGGAGGAAGCTCTAGAACCCAGAGAGAACCAGCGAAAGCACAAGGAGAACATGCAAACTCAGTGCAGTCAGACTCCAGGCCGGGAATCAAACTCACAACCTCCTCTCTGCAAAGCAGCATCGCTGCAACTGCTCCACCGTTCACCAGCTTTATACAGACGGACCTTCTACTGGTCCCAGTACCTGCAGTGTATCCTCGGTCCACGGTCAGACTGGGGAACGGCATCGGCCTCAGGCTGAACTTGTTGTGTGTGAAGCCACAGGATGGAGAAGGCAGAATCCCAGGATACTGGGAGGACTCCAGTGTTGGAACTGGAATGGCGCTGACCACCGCTGAAACAGAGAATAGCAGTGAGTTAGCCCAGCAGCAGCTAGAATAGATCTACGTTTATCAGCCATATCCGAACACTGGTTTAGCATTAGCATGGCTACAAGACAGGTCAGGGTCAGAGGTCAGGGTCAGAGGTCAGGGTCAGAGGTCAGGGTCCTCTAAACCTTCCTCTAGAAGGCTGGAGCTAAAAAAGGAGCGTTTTTCTCTGGTGGCGAGCTTCAGCCCTCTTTGCCATGACCCCAATCTTTAGCTTCTCCTCAGATGTCCAGGCTGCTCCAGAACCTTAATATCTGGGTCATCAGGCTGGAACCAGAACCAGGTTTCTTAGCTGCCTTCCTGATGGTGCTGATGGTTTAGGTTACCATGGGGATGGGGCTCTTCTTCCACCATCATCATTGTTACTGGTTCTGGATGATCTAAACAGAAACGTGTGAATTGATCCAGGCGTCTGTTGCTCCTCAGCTGAGCCGCTCTACTGCAGCAGAACCTCTGAGGAACCAGAGAAGGAGAGAAGAACTTCTCCACTCACAACGTTTCCTAATTAGCCTCGACTCAAAGCCGCCAACATTTAAAGCCCATCCTGCTGGTAGAACCAAAAGAAAATCTGGGGAGTGGTGGCCTAGTGCGTAAAGTGCTCCCCAAGGGGACGGGTTAAATGCAGTTAATTTTGTAGCTCTGTTCTTGCGACAGTGGAACGGCAATAAAAGCTGAGAAAAAACAAAACCTTCAGGGCTGCTTGATCAGGTCAGCCTCACATTTTCTTTGGTTTTGCTGCAGATTTCATTTCATTTTGGCAGAAAATGTCCCCTGATTTCGGTTGCAGCTATAAAACCAAAGTGAAGCTGATGTAACAGCGTCTGCAGCAGACGGAGGCGGCCGGCTCTGCTTATTACCAACCAACAGAAAGCAGGAGGTGAATGTGCAGCGGTGAAGGAGCAGCTCTAACCTGAGAGGAGGAGCATGCAGGGTTCATACTGTGACCTTGAGAGGAAGCTGCAGGGAGGCGAGCTCACTGAGACTGATTACACAGCGCCGCAGGACTACGGCACGGAGAAAAATCACTGCACGGCTCCTCAGGCCTGTTTGGAAGATAAGGAGCTCCCCCCACTCCCTATTATGGTGAGTGTGTCTGTCTATATTCCCCTTCTCTGCTCTAAACACAGCCGCTTCAAATGAGTGTGAGGCTGCTGAGCTCGGCGCTGCTACACAGTAATCCTTCATGTTTAAATAAAACAAAGACGCACTCAGTCTTTGTTCAGGCTGACGGTCAAATACTCCAAAGGTTTCCAGGCTCTTACTGCTAAGCTTCCTTCAGACACATTCCTGCATCTGAGGGATTCCAGTCCTGTTCCTCTGGGAAGAGCTGCATAGGTCGCAGTCACTCCGGTTATATAAAATAAATATTTAACATGATCAGTTCCAGTTGCTTCCTTTTCTTTCAATCACTGTTGTTCAGGACCACGGTCAGCGACTCGTTCAGGACCACGGTCAGCGACTCGTTCAGGACCACGGTCAGCGACTCATTCAGGACCACGGTCAGCGACTCGTTCAGGACTGAGGTCAGCGGGTCGTTCAGGACCACGGTCAGCGGGTCGTTCAGGACCACGGTCAGCGACTCGTTCAGGACCACGGTCAGCGACTCGTTCAGGACCACGGTCAGCGGGTCGTTCAGGACCACGGTCAGCGACTCGTTCAGGACTGAGGTCAGCGGGTCGTTCAGGACCACGGTCAGCGACTCGTTCAGGACTGAGGTCAGCGACTCGTTCAGGACTGAGGTCAGCGACTCGTTCAGGACTGAGGTCAGCGGGTCGTTCAGGACCACGGTCAGCGACTCGTTCAGGACTGAGGTCAGCGACTCGTTCAGGACTGAGGTCAGCGACTCGTTCAGGACTGAGGTCAGCGGGTCGTTCAGGACCACGGTCAGCGGGTCGTTCAGGACCACGGTCAGCGACTCGTTCAGGACCACGGTCAGCGACTCGTTCAGGACTGAGGTCAGCGGGTCGTTCAGGACTGAGGTCAGCGGGTCGTTCAGGACCACGGTCAGCGACTCGTTCAGGACTGAGGTCAGCGGGTCGTTCAGGACTGAGGTCAGCGGGTCGTTCAGGACCACGGTCAGCGGGTCGTTCAGGACCACGGTCAGCGACTCGTTCAGGACCACGGTCAGCGACTCGTTCAGGACCACGGTCAGCGACTCGTTCAGGACCGAGGTCAGCGGGTCGTTCAGGACTGAGGTCAGCGGGTCGTTCAGGACCACGGTCAGCGACTCGTTCAGGACCACGGTCAGCGGGTCGTTCAGGACCACGGTCAGCGACTCGTTCAGGACCACGGTCAGCGACTCATTCAGGACCACGGTCAGCGGGTCGTTCAGGACCACGGTCAGCGGGTCGTTCAGGACCACGGTCAGCGACTCGTTCAGGACCACGGTCAGCGACTCGTTCAGGACCACGGTCAGGGACTCGTTCAGGACCGTTAAGTACAGTTAACTCTTAAATTAAATAGTTAAAGCTAAAGGTTCATAATACTAACGGTGAGTTTCAGAACCAGAACATCCTCCTCCAGTCAGACATGGAGGAGATAAGCTGGAGGTTCTGCAGTGATTCCTGATCAGGTTCTGGAACCATCTTCTTTCCTCTGAACTTCTCCCTCTGACTCTGATTCATGTTTTCATTAAGAACAAACTGAAGATCTGGAGGAAAATTCACAGAAAGGAAGAACTGAGATGGGCAGATGTGTTCCGGTTGGTCTGTGAATCTCCATCTTGTTCCTGGCTGCGTGTTTTCATCCTCAGACAGAGATAAACCTGCAGCTTCCTGCTGGTCGATGTTTCTGATCAATAACTGGATCGATTCTCCTGCTGGGATCAAACTCTGCTCCTCCTGGAATCATCTCTCAACAAATCGACTCAAAACCACAAATTGAATCTGCTGATCACAGACCTGTGGTTATCGATACCTCGGATCCATTTTAGCATGGATCGATTGGCTCAGCCTGCAGGGAGGCGAGCGGATCATCATCATCATCATCATGGCCTTTGGTTTCTCCTGCTGGAACAGGATCAGCTGCAGAGTCCGTCACACAGAGCAGCTCTGGATCAGCTGAGCTTCAGTCTGAGGACCAGATGTTGGATCAGATCCTCTGACATCATCAGCCAGCAGGAGGAGGAGCTTCAGAGGCTGGAACACTGACTCACAGGTCCTGCTTCTGTCTGCTGGTACCAAACCGTCCATGATGAGATGAAGAGCAGAACTCAGACACTGGAAGAAACATCTGGGTGTGATGGAGCCGGGCGCTGTGACATCATCACGTCAGCAGCTCCCTGCAGAGGAACAGAACCGCTGCAGCCCGGCGGTTCCTCCTTGGTTCTGTTTGTTCCGGCGCAGAAAACAAACAGCAGGCGAAAAGAGGAGAGAGAGGAGGAGGTGATTACTGTGAGGCTGGGAGCGCCGCACGCCAGCGCAGAAACGCTGTAATTAGATGCGGCACAAACCAGACCTGCTTCACACTGTGAAGATGTTCAGCGCCGCTTCTGTGGGAATAAAGTGGCAGAAAAGGAAACGTGTCGCCGTGAGCAACAGAAACATACAGAAGATTAACAAAGCTGCAGTTTTCCTTCAGCTGTGACCAAGATGACGCCACTAATCCGTTAGTCAGACCTGAGATGAAACTACTCATCAGAAACAGGTCGGGGGGGGGGTTCAGGTTCTGCTCAGTTTGCTCCAAAGCTTCACTGAAATGATCCAAACCCAGAATCCAGGATGGTTCTGCTGCATCGTCCATCAGACCTCCGCCATAGGAGCGTCCAAATTCACCAGAGGAACCAGGATCCTCTCCGCTGCTCAGCATCTTCTGGGATTCTAGCTCCAGATCTGGAAAAGTCTTCCTGGTTCAGATGAATCTAAGGAACGTTCTGCTCAAACGTTTCAACCGATTTCTGAAATCCATGTTTCTGTTTACGGATAATAAAAAAAAAAAAAAACGCTTCAGGCAAAAACCACCAATCTGACATCACTGATCACCTGATCTACATTTTAAAGCGATTATCGGACTGTAAAGCCGACTTATCGGGCCGGTTCTGTTAATCGGACCGTTACCAGAACGCCTTTCTCTGACCACCATCAGAAGGTTGTGGTTCTGGTGGGTTTGGACCTACGTGTGCTGCTGGGCTGCAGGTCCATGGGGATTATCATCTTCCCTCGGGTCCCCCTCCTGGCCGAGATGGAACGGTCCAGAGTGGAGATGCCGCTGGACGCCTCGTCTGGGTCGGCTCCTGGAGGGGAAACCAAACAAACCCCACAGTGAAGCTTTGACAGATTCTGGGCGGAAAGAGGGAAACGTGGACTGGATCAAATCCTGTACCGGAGTGGCTGCTCTTGCTGCCCATCTGGCTCTCTGATTGGCTGTGGGCCACGGGGGGGAGGTCCTGGCAGGACTGGCTGGGCGAGTCGCGGCCGGACGGGGCCACGCTGGGAGCTTTCTCCATGTTCTTCATCTCCATCTCCTCGTGGTGGATCCACAGGTCCGGCGGCCGGAGCTCCTTCTGGCTGCCTTTCCTCTTCCCAGCGCTGTGGCTCGCCCGCTTCCTGTGGAAATGGAAGGGAAACAGGAAGCAGACGGTCAGAGATCGACGTAAAGCAGAAGCTGCTGTTGGTCCAACGTTATTATGGGATATCTAGATAGCGAACAGCTACAGAGCAGAACCAGAACCATCCTGGTCCATCCTTAGCACCTGATGGACCAAGATGGCGGCTGATGTAGGCGGTCTTACTTTCTCTGCTGGGAGGAGGAGCGGTGGATGCAGACGAGCGCCGTGACGATCACCACGCTGATGGCTCCCACCGAGACCAGGATGATGACCAGCAGGTAGCTATTCTTCTGAGGCGTGGCGCTGCCGTGAGGAGGACGCATCTGACCAATGGGAGACTCTGGAAGCAGGAGGGAGGCGGAGCCAGGAGGTGTTAGCATCAGACCAGCAACAGGAGATTAAAAAAACTGCTAAATGTTAACGATGAACATAAATAGACTCATTCTGCTAAAACTATCGGCTGCTGCAGCCAGATGGTCTGGGCCAGATGTTCTGGGCCAGATGGTCTGGGCCAGGTGGTCTGGGCCAGGTGTTCTGGGCCAGATGGTCTGGGCCAGATGGTCTGGGCCAGGTGGTCTGGGCCAGGTGTTCTGGGCCAGATGGTCTGGGCCAGATGTTCCGGACCAGATGGTCTGGGCCAGATGTTCCGGACCAGATGGTCTGGGCCAGATGTTCTTGGCCAGATGGTCTGGGCCAGATGGTCTGGGCCAGGTGGTCTGGGCCAGATGTTCTGGGCCAGATGTTCTGGGCCAGATGGTCTGGGCCAGGTGGTCTGGGCCAGGTGTTCTGGGCCAGATGGTCTGGGCCAGATGTTCCGGACCAGATGGTCTGGGCCAGATGTTCCGGACCAGATGGTCTGGGCCAGATGTTCTTGGCCAGATGGTCTGGGCCAGATGGTCTGGGCCAGGTGGTCTGGGCCAGATGGTCTGGGCCAGATGTTCTGGGCCAGATGTTCTGGGCCAGATGTTCTGGGTCAGATGGTCTGGGCCAGATGTTCTGGGCCAGATGTTCTGGGCCAGATGTTCTGGGCCAGATGTTCTGGGCCAGATGTTCTGGGTCAGATGGTCTGGGCCAGATGTTCTGGGCCAGATGTTCTGGGCCAGGTGTTCTGGGCCAGGTGTTCTGGGCCAGATGCTCTGGGCCAGATGGTCTGGGCCAGATGGTCTGGGCCAGATGGTCTGGGCCAGGTGGTCTGGGCCAGGTGTTCTGGGCCAGATGTTCTGGGCCAGATGTTCTGGGCCAGATGTTCTGGGCCAGATGTTCTGGGCCAGATGTTCTGGGCCAGATGTTCTGGGCCAGATGGTCTGGAGGTTCTGCAACGTTTGGATCTGGAGAACATGTAACACCAACATCTGCTGCAGATGTTCCTCCTGAACTCTTCAGGAACAAATCGTTCCTCCATCAGCTGAACGGCGGCGTCACATGAACGGATGAAATGAATGAATAAAAACCTGAACATTCAGAGAACAGGAGAGCAGAAGAAAAGACGAATAAAACTCATTTATATCAACGAATAACGGAGAGACCATGAACAGCTGGTCAATTAAAACAAAGAAAAAAAAACTAATAATTAAAAATAATTAAAAGTCAGATCAGATGGAAATAATCAGGCACTAGAATAAAGCTTGTTTGTTTTTCCCTAAAATCAATGACCTCATATGACCCTAATATAAAACACGTAGCTAATAAGTTGGTCTGCTGGTCTCCCATAGGGGGCGCCACTGCTTTGCTTTGACATGTTCATTTAAAAGCTCAGAGCTGCAACTCTTAATGTGTTCAAAGGGAAAAATCCAGATTAGAGCAGAATAAAAGTATTAATTCAAAAGAAGAAATAATTTATAAAATTAAATTCTAAATTTAAATCAATTCTGGTTCTGATGACCTGAAAGGATTCTGGATTATAATTAGGCTAAAGTGAGGTTAGCTTCCAGGTCCTAGCAGCTCAGAGAGAAAGAGACGCTTCTAAACGAAGCGCAATAACAGAACTGTTTGGAGAGTGATGCTGAAGTAGATGGAAACAACGTCACATTCATCCAGTCAGATTCATCCAATCACATTCATCCAGTCACATTCATCCAGTCACATTCATCCAGTCACATTCATCCAGTCAGATTAATCCAATCACATTCATCCAGTCACATTCATCCAGTCACATTCATCCAGTCACATTCATCCAGTCACATTCATCCAGTCACATTCATCCAGTCACATTCATCCAGTCAGATTCATCCAGTCACATTCATCCAGTCACATTCATCCAGTCACATTCATCCAGTCACATTCATCCAGTCAGATTCATCCAATCACATTCATCCAGTCACATTCATCCAGTCACATTCATCCAGTCACATTCATCCAGTCAGATTCATCCAATCACATTCATCCAGTCACATTCATCCAGTCACATTCATCCAGTCACATTCATCCAGTCACATTCATCCAGTCAGATTCATCCAGTCACATTCATCCAGTCACATTCATCCAGTCAGATTCATCCAGTCACATTCATCCAGTCACATTCATCCAGTCACATTCATCCAGTCACATTCATCCAGTCAGATTCATCCAATCACATTCATCCAGTCACATTCATCCAGTCACATTCATCCAGTCACATTCATCCAGTCAGATTCATCCAATCACATTCATCCAGTCACATTCATCCAGTCACATTCATCCAGTCACATTCATCCAGTCACATTCATCCAGTCAGATTCATCCAGTCACATTCATCCAGTCACATTCATCCAGTCAGATTCATCCAGTCACATTCATCCAGTCACATTCATCCAGTCAGATTCATCCAATCACATTCATCCAGTCACATTCATCCAGTCACATTCATCCAGTCACATTCATCCAGTCACATTCATCCAGTCAGATTCATCCAGTCACATTCATCCAGTCACATTCATCCAGTCACATTCATCCAGTCAGATTCATCCAATCACATTCATCCAGTCACATTCATCCAGTCACATTCATCCAGTCACATTCATCCAGTCACATTCATCCAGTCAGATTCATCCAATCACATTCATCCAGTCACATTCATCCAGTCAGATTCATCCAATCACATTCATCCAGTCACATTCATCCAGTCACATTCATCCAGTCAGATTCATCCAATCACATTCATCCAGTCACATTCATCCAGTCAGATTCATCCAATCACATTCATCCAGTCACATTCATCCAGTCAGATTCATCCAATCACATTCATCCAGTCAGATTCATCCAGTCACATTCATCCAGTCAGATTCATCCAGTCACATTCATCCAGTCACATTCATCCAGTCACATTCATCCAGTCACATTCATCCAGTCAGATTCATCCAGTCACATTCATCCAGTCACATTCATCCAGTCAGATTCATCCAATCACATTCATCCAGTCACATTCATCCAGTCACATTCATCCAGTCACATTCCCACCATCTCACCCGTATGGACGTAGAAAACACAACATTTGAACTGAGAAAGCTTCCAGGAGAGGTGGCGAAACGTCTTCAAATCTTGGAACCAATTCCAGTGGACTTTTTTGAACTTTTGCGGAATGACTATGACCTGGATGACTGGGACTCTTCATCAGCAATAGAGACAGACAGTAACCACGCCCCCCCCCCCCCCAAAAGATGCCAGCGCCAGCAGCCGTCCCACTGAAGAGCTCATCTGACTTCCTCTATTCCTGCCATGAACCTTCATCTTCTCGCTGACATCCTAAGAGCTCCAGGAAATCACCCTGGTTCTGGTTCTGGTTTCTTCCCTTCAAATGGGAGTTTTCCTTTCCACTGTCGCTGCATGCATGCTCAGTATGAGGGATTGCTTCAGACTGTCCACTGTGGACTGAGCATTCTGGGTCATCCCTTCGGTTCAGCCTTTCTCTGCCTGAAAGCTTCGGAGCTCTGACCCCCGCCTGCCTAACGAGCGAGCGAGCATCACATGCTCTGCTTGGAGGGAAACGGGAGAGAGGAGGCCTGAGCTGGGAGCTCCGCACGGAGAAGGAGACGCCGTCACTCATTAGACGACCTTGGAGGAAACAGGCAGCAGAAGGAACAAAAACCGAACGTGGAGAAAAGACAAATGAAAGAAAAAATGAAGAGAAATGTTGGTGTGATAGAGAGAGGCACTTTACCTCCCTCAGCCTCTCTCTCCATTTGCTCGTCTTTCCCAATGAAAAGCTCAATCCATCAAAGCCTCCGGCTGCAGCTGCTGGACCACAAACTGCTGCTGCTTTCCTTTTAAACTTCCATCTAATAAAGCCTCTCCCTGCTCTGTTTTCACTTTTCTGCATTGATTTCATTTTAAAGCGAACAATGCGAGATGCTGCTGCTGCGGCGGACGGGAGCTGAGGGATCGTTAAAGTAAAACTCTTTGTTGCCGAGACGTCAGCAGGACGGACAGACTGACAGACTAATTACCCCCGGCACAGACAAGAAAAAGACTTGATTAATGACCTCCTATCATAATTATCCCCGCGCCCAATGAAAACATTTAACACCTTGTTAAGTTAACGCAGCTCAGCTCCTGCATCACCTCTGATTTATGGCGTCTGCAGCCGAGCAGGAGCTCCTGAAGTTCGGACGGATCTCACTGCATCCCGGAGGCACCATAGATCCATGTTTATCTGAAACCTGTCGCTCCGCTGCTGCTGCATCCGTTTCCTCATCACATCTAACTAATTATGCTTTATTTCAAACAAAATGTCAGGATTAAACTCCTGCTGCTCAGGCATGAAACCAACCTCAGACGTTTAGGAGCTCAGCTGCTGTTGGCGTTTTATCCAGATGGAAATATTTTCATTCTTGTTCTAATTAAAGTCGGATATGGCTCTGTGCCTCCCTGCAGGAATCTGAACAACTAAACTGAACTATTTTAGCGTGTGGGAGGCTTTCATTTCTGCAGATTATATGATGTCCTGAAAACTAGAACCTCTTTTATTCGGTTCTGGATTAGAACTCGTTAGTCCTGCCTTAGATCAGAGGACGGACAGACGGATGTAAACAGAGTCTAAGATAGCATTAAAGGCTGCTCTTAAGCTATCGCCTTCAATGTCAGCATGGATGTTAAAATCTCCCACTATGATGACCCTGTCAGTATTTAATACCAAATCAGAAAGGAACTCTGAAAACTCATCTAAACATTCAGAGTAAGGACCTGGTGGACGATACAAAGTTACAAAAAGAAGAGGTTTTCTGCTTTGAAATTTGGATCATTAAGGGTTAAATGATCAAAGAGTTGTAGGTATTAATTGTTTTGGGAGTAATCAGTAAGTCAGACTGGAAGATTGTTGCTACTCCTCCTCCTCGCCCAGAACTTCTGGGGATGTGAAAATTTAAA